TGTGTGTGTGTGTAAAACGATTTTTAGTTAAAAAAAATGAAAATATTTTAAGTATGTGAAAAATTTGAAAAATTAATATACCCTGCTGAATATAATAGGAATGGAGGATTCAGGACTGAGAAAGTCCGGTCCCAATTGTGCATAATGCTGCTGTTGTTGCTCCAATGTCGCCAACACTTCTTTAACTTTTTCCGAGCTACTTAGCAATTTCCAGTCTTCAGAATCGAGTATGCTTTCGCATTGAATGCACACACCAGCTACCTGCGATCTCGTGGTCGTGAGATCTTTTTGTTGCTGCCTTAGTGCGCAAAGTCTACCGCGAGTTTCCGTTTCGATGTATGCCATCGCTGTTTTTTCTTGTTCAGCCAGGACAGCGCGTAATTCTTCAAAATGATATCGCACCCTTCGTCTCGCATCTTCAATCGCCCAACCTTCTAATTCTTCAATTACTATTTCTGAAAATACAAATGCATATGAATTAGAAGATTAAAAAATTCATATTTGATAAAGTATGTACATAATTATATATAATTATACACTATATATATATATATATATATCAAAAAAGTTATCTTAATTATATGTTATTTTTTATTTAGACATTTGAAATAAAGTATCCTTTAAAAAAAAACAGGAAGAAAAAAACGATAAACACCTATTTTATGTGCGGTATCTCTCATGCTTTCCATAAACTGTGTCATCTTTTGCAATGCTGCGATAATGGATTTCCTGATGTTCTCGGCCTCTTCCTCCACCAATGCTGGCTATAAATTATAACATAGATAAGATATTGAAACATATCAGTATACAAATTATGAGGAAAGCTATGCTACAGACAATGTTACCTTGTGTGTACTGTGTTTTCCATATTCTTTACACAAGTAACACATCAAGGAATTATGACAGCCTTCTTGAGTACATGTGAATTCAGCTATATGTGTCGTATGTATCGGACAACGAGGTTTCTCACGTGGTTTCTCCGAAAGTGGCACACGCCTATGTTTGCCCAATGTCTTGGATGAATGTGTGGCAGTATCACAAGTCTCACATAGGTGCGTGGCACAGACAGTGCAGTAAAGAACGGCAGTATGCGCCTCATCCTCATCACACAACAGATTCGACTGGAGTCTCTCGCGCTCCAACACCAATGTCTTCTGGCTGTTGGATTGCTCTAGTCTTTCAAGCAGCTCAATAAGCGCAAAGTTTTTTTTCAAACTATAGACGCTGTTCTCATGAATAGCAGTAGGTTGTCGATCAAAGGGACAGAGCAAAAATTGCTGTTCTGACATGCAAGTTCTCAACCGCAGGAGGCATGAGTGACACACCGTATGTCCACAGTGCAATAAACGTGGCACCTTCACACCATCCACTGTGAAAACCTCTTCACAAACGCGGCATTCTAGCACCTGTTAATATTTAGACGCATTTGATAATAATGCATTTCAATATTTAGTTTCTCTAATATCTTTAATAATCTTAATCGAATGAAGCATTTAGCTTTTTCTTCTAATGTAGATTTAGATTTATTAAGTTTGACAGCTATCAAACTCCAATTAACTTAATTGGTAGTTAACCATTAATAGTAAAATTTTTAACATTTATTATTTCTATCACAATTAGAATTTATCATTTTATCTACATTAATGAAATTCCAGACAAAAGTCAATCGGAGCTTGGTCGAAGTCAGCATCGTGATACATAATTGTTAATGGATTTCTCGACATCTCTCACATTTGATTTCGGCACCGTTCTTAGTGAGTGCTTTATGTGTTTGCTCAGTCGATCAGCGTCCTCGCTCATCGTGGAGGACTGACGTTTCGTCCGAAGATTCAACTCCGCGATTCACGAGACTGGAACGCAAATTGAGGTTAGCTATAAATAAAACAGGTATTTAGAATACGGTCTTCACCTCCGATTTTGATAAGTTTAGGCTCAATCAACGCGATTTCACTCAAAATAAGAGAATCTGACAGAAAAACGCGGCGGTCTGCCTTGCGAACCGAGATATTAAGCGTTAAAGTTGACCACTTTTTCGGTTAAGAAATCTATCGTACCGACATAACGCAGCGAACTGAGTATGCGCGTGGTCACGTTTGCATGCTCAGTGACTACGCATGCTGCGCAGTCAGATGCGCGCGAAATTTAAACTTAATAATACAAAAAGAAGAGAACTGCAACAGTTAAAATTATACACGCCAAACATCATATATATAAGAGATGAAAAAATTAATGGAACCGATCGGAATTCGATTCAGAAATCCTTCGTTTACTCAAGCTGCACGATTATAACGACTCCTTTGCGTTAATTATTTATGTTTTCAATTGCTATCTGAGAACTATTTATGGCTATTTACTAAACTTTATGGCTATTCATTTTTCCCGGGCTAACTTTCTAATCAATTTCATTCCATGGCTCTCACTGACTCGCAAGGATTCAGCCTTAGGGCTGCGATTCACTTGCTGCTACAAATACTTCGAAGTATTTGATTAGCCAATTAGAACAAAGAATTTTATGAATTGACCAATCAAAAAATGCTTCGAAGCATTTGTAGCACCAAGTGGATCGCATCCTACGCTACTTGCATGATGGTAACGCATAGTAAGATGTTCATATATACACGATGCGTATATACGTACATGTCTCATGTGGTTCCATATGTGACACTCGATAAATATGGTGGACTCCCCTCCCTCTCCGCCGCAAACGTGCCTCATTCTTTAGCTTATGCTCCATCTTTCTATTCTCAAGTGTTCATATTCTCAATTTGAGAATTCTATTCTCGCGAAAGGTGTGTTCGGACAGCTTCTTCCGCGTATGCGTGTGTATGTAGGAGCGCTCAAAATAGTTGTTTCGAGGCGTTCATTCTATTCCATTCCATCCCATTCTATTCCATTCCATCGTATCGTTTCAAGTTCCAAGATGGAGAGAAAACAATATCGCGGATTCTTTCGTTCAAGGTGCTTGTAAACATATATCCCTAACATAGGATTATCGATGATTCTATTAATTCCATGAATTCAACGTGAACGCGCAATGGCGAAATCCGTGCTTGGGTCGGACACATTGCCAAAGGCAGGCCGTGTAAATGAAGGTGAGAAACATTGAGCTTTTTTTTATCATAAGCTTTTTCATCATAAGATACGCTCTCTGAGGTAGGCTACTACCTCTCTTCATGTTTCATCTTTTTCTTTTCTTTCCATATTTATACCTGTTTCGTTTCAAGTGCGGAAAACGCGTTAAAGTATGACCAAATAAATGAATACGTCGAGAACAGGATTAATCATCGCATTGACATTTGTGTGTGAATTTGTACTTTTATTTGCATTTACAATTTTGCAGTATGCCGCGAATGGCTGGTACACGAAGACGGAGCATTAGCTTATCGACTTCAAGACGAAGAAAGTACGTGACAATGTTTGGCTTATATATTCGTATGGGTATAGACATGTCATAAAGAGTACTAGATTCATTGGATTCTTCCAAGACGACGGCTACTTTCAGCCGATTGAATTTATCATCTTAGGTAGAGCAATACAGGTTTTTTTTACAAATCAAAATTATGGGGTCAATTTGAAAAATTTGGCATTATATAGAAAAAAAAAGAAAGAGAAAGAAGTCTTATCAAGATACACTGTATAGCTGAAAATTCTGTCATTAATAAGAGAATGTATCAAAAAAAAGAACATAAAATGATTTTGATCAGGATAGAAAATAGAAGATAAGATTTATGAAAGAATATAAAAGCTAAAAGGGGAATGCTTTATGTGAAATATTTATTATTTATTATTATTTTTAAGAAATTTATTTTAACATACAATTTTTGATCATGGTTCATAGTCAAGGAACATTATACCGGCAACAAAACACGAAATGCACAGATGAGAGAAGATTTGCCACGAGCCAAAGTTGAACAGGAATTGGAAGCATTGAGATATCAAAGTTATATTCAACAACAGTTAGTAATATAATTTGTATAATTTAATGATATAATGGGTATTTACACAAGTTATCAACATCTTGAAATATCTTTTTTGCACAGAGAAGAGAGAGATGCACTTGTCGCAAGGCAGATTGCACTTTCTCTGGAACGAGAAGAAAGGCAAAAAGAACGCGAATTGCAAGAAATGATGAGATTACAATTAAGATTGGGAGATGAAGCTATGCAACAGGAATTTGAAAGGCGTATGCAAGAGGAAAAAGATGAGGTAATCACAATATCTTGGTTAATGAATGAAATTATCAATGGTTAATGAAATCTTTTTTCAGAGCAGTTTTTTTTAT